ATATATTGTTAAGTCTCGGCCGACATCACCTTGTCGCTCGTCACATAGACTGGTTGTGCTCGCAATGTCTCACTCTGACATCTCATTTCCTCCTCCCGGTCCGTGCCTCAAAACATCACCACTCAACACATATATTCACTTAAACATTCCCTCCAGTCCTCAGAATCAGATTCTGAGTGAGAGGGCCTCTAAAATCACCAGAGGGAAAAGAAAGTTATTAGAAGTAGGTGGACCAATGATTGACTGGAGTGAACTTGGGAGATGGTTGGAGTGAAGATGATGGTTGGGGAGAAAGAGGAAAGACAGTTGAGGGAAAAGCTGTGGTTGGGGACTTAGGATTCTCAAATACTCCAAGTCGTCCTAAATCCGCGGACCCGGGACTCGGATAAGCTTCGCCATCGACGTTGTGTAAAATGTATGCAATTTGTTGTGTGCAACATGCAATGTGCAGTGACGACGTTAGAGACATACAACCTCGCACAATCTCAGACTAGTGCACTAACACCGCCAGCCAATCTCAAACAATCTCAGCTTCGTCTCAAAATTTCGCACAATCTCGCACAACCTCAGCCATTCTGGGAACAGTGGACTTCTACTGGGCCTGAGGCCTGAGGACACCCAGTTGGCACTTCAGAATTGCTTCTCCGCGTACTACTAGCTGATGCATAGCCTAATGTTTATGTAGAACGCGCAAGACTTCATGCATGCCTCAGATCTGGCTGTGCAGCTCATTAAATCGTGGTAGCAGCCTCGTGTCTTGCAAACACATAAGCACTCACTGACTCGTCCTTAAGCGCTTAAGCCTCAACAATTCCACCACCATCCAGCAAGCGTTCTTTCCACACCACTCGAACGAATTTCCTTCCATTCTTAAGCAGCTCTCACGCCCTGTAATTTTTACAACTTGATCGTCTTGCCGCCTAGCTCAATACAGTCGTACAGACTTACCGACAGCTTGACAATATCGTGACACGACTTCACAACTTACTACACCCCCAAACGTCCAAGTGATAGGTTGGACTTTGTCGATCCTTTCGTATGTCACCACTCGAGATAACCCGCGCTCCTATGATTTCTAACCACACTCGTCGAAACCACCTAGTACTTCCCGAGTTGTTCTAATCCTTTTCATCATTTATCGTCGGGACCAATGGATCAATGTCAGTATTTCCATCTTCTACACCCTCTCTCGCTCTCTGATATCATTAATAGCTCGGGGTGATTCTGAAGGAACGTGGCAGGAGCTGTCCAAGGTCGCTGTTATTGGTGCTGAATACGACTCCCGCGAACGTCAGCCCCATCCAAAATGCTTAGAGGGGACGCGGGTGGACCTGCTCAACTACATCTACAAAATATTAGACAACCGAGAGAAGAGTCAACTTATTTGGCTGCATGGCACGGCAGGCGTAGGAAAGTCTGCCGTTGCGTTCACTGTAGCTGAAAAGATGAGAGGTCTGAAAATGACAGAGGAGACGACAGTAGAAATGCGACTCGGGGGGACATTCTTTTTCTCGCGCAAGCATACGAAACGATGCACGACTGGTTATTTCTTTGCAACACTAGCCCACCAACTCGCCACCAATTTTCCCAGCGTCCGGAAGGACGTCAAAAAGGCTATCTTTGAGAATCCTACACTTCTATACGCCGACAAGTCTATTCGCGACCAGATGGAGAGGCTGTTTCTCCAACCTCTGCGGAAGCTTCAATCCAGACTGCGCCAGTGTCCGCCTTTGACGTTCGTTCTTGACGCCCTCGACGAATGCACATCAGAAAGCGAGCTTGCTGATCTCGTCTCACTGCTCGGTCAAGCTCTCCGTCAACCGGATATACCCGTTACGCACATTCTTCTCACGAGTCGCTCAGAATCGCACATCTCTAAAGCCATGCAGAAGGAAGAGCTACGCCCGATGGTGTGCGAGATACCAGTGCAAACGACTGGGAAGGGCGTCGCTGCCATCATCTCGTTAGATGGTGTAGATGTTGACAAGGATATCTATATGTTTTTGCAACATTCCTTCAGAGAGCTGCAAAGTCGCCATTCCAATTTCCCGCAGCCAACAAAGGCTCAATTCGAGCGGCTGGCGAGCCGAGCGGGCAGACGTTTTATCGTGGCGTCTACTATGTTGAAGTTTATCGATGATGGATACAATGATCCCCGCGATCGGCTTCATCTCATGCTCGAGCTGACAAGCGACCTGCTACCAGGAACAGAGGTGTACAAGTTATATGACCTCATCCTCTCCACATGTGCTGACCCCGGGCGGGCATACCAGCACTTGTCCGTTGTTGCTGCGCTGGCGGACCCTCTGCCAGTCTCACAAATATCGGAGCTTCTTGGCCCTGGTCAGGGCAGGGATCTCGAGGCAGCACTGGTGCAACTACGGTCTGTTGTTAACATTCCTACCGACAGCACTCTCCCCGTGAATACCTATCACTTATCTGTTCGTGACTACGTATCCGATCCGTCAAACTGCAGCCTCCCTGAAGTACAACATATGACCACGGCCCATTCACTGCTCGCACATGCCTCTTTACGCTTGCTTATAGAAGATATCCCAGAAAGGCCGAACCTCTTGGATGCGCTCTCAGACTTCAAGAGGCAGAGCCAAACTATGCAATCCTGGCGCATGCAACGCCGTCCGCCCAAGGACTTAATGCGCTCATTAGCTTTCATTGTCCAGCCCCTGGAGCCACTGCAAATTCTTACAATTCTTCTGTGGCTTCGGGGAGACCGCAGTTCAAATTTGCAAGCCTGGCTATCGACACTGGATGGGCATGCATGGCTGCAAACCCAAGAAGGGAAACACTGGTTGCGGACGCAGGGGGGGGAGGACTGGCAGAAGACAGAGAGCGGACAAAACTGGCAGTGGAAGCTGAGCCCGCCATCGGACAACAGCACGCGACTAGAACCATTCAACGCACGGGACTCCCCGCAGATCCCGAGCTTTCCGGCGACCAAAAACAGCACGGAACTGGACCTCCAGTACACTGAACCGTCTGCGGAACATGCGCTTCCCTGTGGTCAACATTCGGCCTTCGTAAATCCACTCAGGCGAGAGGAGCTGGTAATTCCAACAAGCAGAGAGCCAGAGTGGCCACTGCCGGGCGCACAATGGTGGCTGCGGACTGAGAGCGGGCGTGAGTGGCTGCGGACTAAGAGCGGGCGTGAGTGGCTGCAGACCCCGACAGGGCTGATGTGGCTGCAGACCCTGGACGGGAGAGAGTGGCTGCAGAACGAGGGTGGGGGGGAGTGGCTGCAGACAGAGAGTGGGACAGAGTGGTTGCAGACCGAGGGTGGGACAGAGTGGCTGCAGACCCTGGACGGGAGAGAGTGGCTGCAGAACGAGGGTGGGGGAGAGTGGCTGCAGACCGAGAGTGAGACAGAGTGGCTGCAGACCGAGGGTGGGACAGAGTGGCTGCAGGCCCCGACTGTACAAGAGTGGCTGAAGACCGGGGGTGGGTGCGAGTGGCTGCTGACCCCGACAGGGCAGATGTGGCTGCTGAACCCGACAGGGCAGATGTGGCTGCTGACCCTGAACGGGAGAAAGTGGCTGCAGACCGAGAGTGGGAGAGTGTGGCTGCAGAGCGAGGGCGGGTCAGAGTGGCTACAGACCGACGATGGGACAGAGTGGCTGAAGACCAAGGGCGGGTGCGAGTGGCTGCAGATCGACGATGGGACAGAGTGGCTGACGACCGAGGGCGGGTGCGAGTGGCTGCAGACACCGAGCGGGCGATGGTGGCTACTGACCCAGGGCGGAGGAGAATGGCTACAGACCCCGAATGGGAGAGAGTGGCTGCAGAGTGGGGGCGGGTCAGAGTGGTTGCAGGGCTCAAGCGCGCGACAGTGGCTGAAGACTCTGACTGGGCAAGAATGGCTGCAGACCCCAACCGGGCAGAGGTGGCTACTGACCCTGGGCGGGAGAGAGTGGCTGCTGACCCTGAACGGTGGAGAATGGCTATAGACCCCGAATGGTAGAGAGTGGCTGCAGAGTGAGGGCGGGTCAGAGTGGCTGCAGGACTCGAGCGCGCAACAGTGGCTGAAGACTCCGACTGGGCAAGAATGGCTGCAGACCCAAAGTGGGCGAGGGTGGTTGCTGACGCAGGGTGGGGGAGAGTGGTTGCTGACACAGGGTGGGGGAGAGTGGCTGCTGACCCCGAACGGGGTGGAACGGCTGCAGATCGAGGGTGGGCCAGAGTGGCTGCAGGCCCCGAGTGGGTTGCAGTGGCTGCAGACCTCGGGCGGGCGAGAATGGCTACAGACCCAGAGGGGGCGAGAGTGGCTGCGGACGCCCCATGGTCAATCATGGCAATCAACTCCTGCGGCGTCTGTTTGGGTAACAATGAGAGAGTTCTCGAGCACGTCGGAGGCAGTCAACAGATTCAAAATCATCCGAAAATCGCGCTTGCAGCCAGCTTTTCAAGCAATCCAACAGTTCAAGAGCTTGCCGGATTTCCTGATGTTTCCGGCATTCCTGGCCTTTAGCCACCACCCAGATCATTCAACAAAAGATTGTTTCACACCAGATACGCAAACCATTCACACCATGAAGGCTTTTTCAAGTTTCGCAAGCGGTGCACGGGTACGAATTCTATCAGCTTCAGATGCTCTCAAGTACGCCTGTCAAAATTGGGCCTTTCATCTCTCGCGAGTTGCGAACCCGTGGGACGATACTCTCAACCCCATATTTACGACGTTCTGGAATAATCATCTCCTCTCCTGGCTCGAAAGGCAGTGGTCTTTGAAGGGCCTGCGATCTTGCCTCGTTGTTCTATCCGAAGGGCAGAAACTTGCAAAGGTCTGTATTTCCAGTAGTTTTCATGATGCAGCACCTGACCCGCACATATAGAAACGTCTCCAAGCCACGATCACCCCAGCAAAGAGTCTGAACTTGTTGCTTTTCGCATTCCGTCTTATTTTCAGGCGTTGAACTACATATTATCTCAGCTTTTTTCATTCCGACGTCATTAGGCCGGTGTAGTGGATCATATGAGTCGCTGCAAAAGCCCATCTAAGTCCTTGATTCAGAATATATCATAGATATCTACATGCAAGACAACTCCGTGACTTCAATATTGACGAGGTCGGAGGAACACCGAGAATCGGAAACCTCCTAAAACCTCTAGTTCCAATCCTCATGTAGATCATTCTGGTGACACGTGAAGCATGATAGAAGCAGTTGCCGCAGCAGGAATCGAAGCATGAACGGCTGTATCCTACCATCCGCACACGTGCACGATAACTATGTAACTACTTCCTCATTATAAGTTATCCTCATGGGCCAATCAGTCCATCCTGAGCGCAGTATTACTGTGCGATAATTTTGAGAACACAACCAATTACAACAACGAAACATCTACTCCAGAGCCTCATGCAACCCAACCGTGTCCCTCAACCTCCGCGACATAATCTCAATATATCCCTGGTATGATTGCCACTCAGTTCCCAGCGTATCCACCGTCTGACAGGACCATCGCCGTCATCAAAAACCACGCGAACACAGAAGCGAAGGAACTTACCAAATCCAGTGTTGATAACCTCGCCAGCGCACCAACTAATCTTTTGCCCGCGTTCGCCTTGAACGAATCAGAATCTGGAGGTGGAAGAAGCCTGAGAGTGCTCTTCATATTCATGGCTGGCGCTGAGGTAGCGCTGCTCGACATGTCACGCTCGACATAGTTCACCAGATGGCGCCACAGCAACAATAGCACCATCTCAGTAGTGCCTGCGCATACACTCGTTAATATCACCCAACAATGCATTTCGATATCAATTCTCACCGAGCATGTTTTTGACCTCATCCTGAGCCTCGTTCCTGAGCCGCTCATACTCTCTGAATATCAACGATCTCTTCTGCGTAATATCTAGATCTTGCAGGAAAGCGGGATCAGATACGCTGACGATCTGCGAACCAAAAGTTCAAACCCAAACTCTTGATACAGACATGCAGGCAGGCGTACCTCTTGGATATTGTCGACTCGAATATGATCTCTCGAGGACAATTCAGCAGACAAGTCAGCTATTTGTTTCAACGTCTCTGAAAGATCGTCGCACAGTCCATTCAGCGTCTCGATGGCATCGCCGACTGTTGGTATGGTGGCTATGCCAAATCGTTGTAAGACAATGAGGGGTGGCAGTAAAGAGGACGACCACATACCTACGAAACGAGACGACCGCTCGTCATGTCGAGGGACCGTGACCACAGGAGAAAGCACCAGCGTGATCTCAGGTTCTGCAGTGAAAAATAAAATCAACCAGCGCTCCAGCCAAGCATCTACTACCTTACCAGTGAATTCACTAGCAGTTCCCAGATACTCCACGATCGCCTTGAGGAGCAACCGTTCTTGGCGCCTCAAACTCAGGTCAAATTGAGTAGTCGATCCGTGCCCGGGTGCAAAGACGCTAGCTTGCGAAACTTCAGTGTCCGTCTGAGGTTTCACCGCTTGATTCCAGCTTCTATTTCCAAGGCACCTCGCTGCAAGGCCCAACACAGCACTGTGAATACCACCAAACCCAGAATTTGTCGACATCTAGACCACCATTGTCAGTACTCCAGTAACACAAAGCATGTAACGGGGACTCACCAGCTCAGATTTCGGAACGGGCGTTAGGATACTTCTGCTCAGCGATACCACGAGGTGGATTTCTTGAACGATCGACAACCCAATCTCTTCAGAATCGTTTTTTAGGAGGATGATGATCGTCTCTCGATGGCTGGATAAAAAGTCGAGCGCCTGATAGCGAGTTAGTCAACGCCCACCCACAAAAAAAGTGAAAAGTAAACTTACCTGACTACTCGCTGTAGCATGCTGAGCTCCCAACGTCGTCAGCATCCCAGCAACAAGCTGAAGCGCCGGCATGAAAATCTGGTGGTATCGCTGAATAGCTGAAGGCAAGAAGGAATCCTGGTCTTCATAAACAACTCAGCACCCAAAAAAAAAATACCTCCGAGGAAGACAAAAACCAACACACCCATAAACGACTGATCTGCTTCTGGTCTCGTGTCCAAGAACTCGCACTGACTCAGGATCGGGAAAATTCGAGCTTCAAGCAACCGTTCCGCCCCCGGCCTCGTTTGTGCCATCCGTATCAAGAAGGACATCTTCGCCTCGTAAACGTACAGAGGATTCAGATCATCTGCATCATTCCCTTCAGTTTTGTCCAGATAAAGCCTACTCACTGTGCACGCACCTGGGTCTGGTTTCAACACATACTGCATTTGCGACTCCGCTTCCTTGAGTCCCTGAACGAAGTTCGACAAAATCCCATAGCGAACCAAAGATGTAAGGAGCATGCGGGACTTGTCCGAGCGGCATAGCTGCGAGAGGGAGTCTAGCAGCATGAAAGCGACGGTCTTCCAAACTTCAGTACCATCGATAGCGTCCCGGGATACGATCAGTGACCAGTCTCTCGAGCACGCTTTTCAACGCGGCCAGCGTACCCAGCTCTAGCGCCGAGACATTTGTTGCAGGCGTTGGCGTCCCACGGATGGATCGAGATTCATTCAGGGACAAATCATCGCGTGAGGAGATTGCAGAGAGAGACATCGACATCGACATCGACATCGATAACGAGTGCTTCCCAAATGTCTCCATTGACGCCTCTCCCGAAGGCCTCTGATCACTCCCTCCGATGAGGTGGAAGTAATTGATCAAAGAAGCGTATAGGTTGCCGCGAACCAGCTCCGAACGGTTGTTATCCAGGATACAGTCAAGGATGCTGCGAAGAAGCGCAAACAGTCTCTCCGCAGGCAAAGAGCCCGCATCAGTGTCCCCGCCAGCAGACTGAAGCATAACTTGATGACGTCGATCTTCACGCAGCTTCGTGATGCAAGACAGCACGGCTTCCGAAAGGAGAATCGCAGTAGGCTCCTGGATATCAGAGGAACGGATAGCAGTAGGTAGAACGTGTAGCAAGTCAAAGAGCATGTTTTCACGTCTGTCGTGCGGCAGACGCTGGAAGCACTTGGTAAGGGTGATGTCTAATAGCCTCCACCATGCTTCGTATCCGGTAGCGACAGCAAAAGCAACCTCACGGCGATTGTTTTCGATCGCACAGCTCTCCAAGACGTACGAGGTTTCAGCGTTCAGTTTGTCAGCGTGCGCGCTATTGGTGATTCGGCCTTGAGCGTGAAGGGAACGTCGCGCGAGCGTCAACAGGGACAACAGCGCAGATCTATCAACGACTTCGCACCCGGTGCTATCCACACGGATGCAGGACTGGAGGTTGAGCTGACCGAGGAGCTCCAGATCGACAGGATGGACGGCTAAGCTGTCTGACCAGTCAAAGCTAAGGGACTGGACAGACTCGATGATCCTAAGATGAGACTGGCCCATCTCCTGGAACGGTTGCAATGCATCCACATCCCAATCAAGCGTATCTTCACCAGGCATCACTTCTGAGCCGAATATGATTTGCAAAACCTCCAGAATGCCCTTGTGGTGGCCTTTGCGGGTCAGGACGTGGAGATCAAGGGATACTAGGTCAAGGACGCGAGAGCGTACGCCCATGAACGATCGTAGAGTTGATACGCTGGTGATAACACGAGAACCGTCATGATATAGTACCTCGATGACAGGCTCCTCGTGCGTTTCTGGGGCTTTGGAAGGTATGGCTGCGAGGTGGCGCGCGAAGAAGTCTTCTCGCGTGCGTAGATATCGCATAGTGGACTCCGATGTCCGTGGGTGTACACAGAGCTGGTGGATCACCTGGTAGCAGCGCTCTGCCAGAGCAGGGATAGAAATGAACAATGGATCGACTTGGCGCGCAAGCCTGCGTTCGCGTTCGCGTTCTTTGCCTTTTGCGTGCACTCTTGGGACGCCGGCGTTGACAAGGTCAATGACGACATGGGCGCACGTTTTGCGTGCACCCATTGCGTGTGGATCTTGGATTTGATGCTCGTTTTCTGGGCCACCGAATAACAGGAAATGGCCGATAGTGGGAAATGGTCGGTTTGGACGTGAGTTCTGGATGAGCAATTCGAGGATGGCAAGCCGTATCGCCTGATCGAGTGGTTCTTGCGCTTCTCTGTCATGAGCCCCAGCGCCGGTCACCTGTTCAGCCTGCGTCTCGCTAACATCTACATCATCGAATGACTCGACACTGAGTAGCTGCCTGAAACCGCTGAGGATGCGATCCGAGTCGTTGCTGCGCTCGATGAGGGTGGTCAGGTTGCTGACCGACGATGATAACTGCGTGACGATCTTGACGGCGAGAAGGACGAGCTCAGGGTATGAAGGGTACACGACATACGTAGCAATCGCAGGAATATGCTGCGTGCCATACGACAGCGCTTGATCGAAACGCGTGTAATACGACCGAGCATGAGCGACGCCGACAAACTGCGAGCTATCAAACTCTGTGAGGAGCGGTACGAGCACATCAAGGAAGATATCCTGGATGTCCAGAACGCGGTGGACGATTCGCAAAACACGCACGATCGTATTCTTGAAATGCGGTTCTTCATCTGCGAAACCTTTCTCGAAACCTTCTATGCCATCCACAATGTACGTCAAGATGCTGGTTTGTAATAGCGAGGTCGTCAAGAGACGCTGCATGACATCATACCCAGGGTGGACGAGGAGGGGAACGATGGCCTCCCGCTTCAAGACGACATCTTCACCCGATGAGACCAATAGCTCGAGATCGTAGCTCGCGAGGACTCGCTCGACGAAGGACAAACACAAGTCATTCATCTGCCACCTGTCTGAAGGTCGCCTATACTCTCTCCGCGGGATATTAGCGAAAACATTGTCGATAACGAAGGATATATAAGGTGCAATCCCAGGAAGACGATATGGTTGACCAAGGGCATCAGGAATGGTGTTCAGCGGCTCCGAATCCGTTACGAGGTCCTTCAAGGAAAGGCGTTTGGGAGTGTGAATGAGGGTGCTGAGGAGTTTGAGGAAGGGGATCGTAGCGGGATAGAGTTTATGAATTGATTCAACCTCGTCCAGCTCCACCTCGACGCCCTTGACGGGATGCAATACTCCCCCGACACGGGAAGAACTTGCACGGACGTTTATGACTTCTAACCGCTCCATCAATGTCCATACTGATCTGCATATCTCCACTCCAGCAACGCCCGCCCCGGGTTCACAAAATGCTGCGAGGGCGTCAAAGATGGCTCCCTTCAGCTCCAAGGGTATCCCAAGAGGTATCAGCGAGACCAGCGTTGGAATAGCCCTGAAGTGCGAGTTTCCGGAGATCGCGAGGCGGACAGCAACTGAGCACGATACTACCGTAGATAGAAGGCGGAGGAACGCTTGGGCGAGTAAAACATCGTTGGGTCCTATTGCAACCTGTTTCTGCTGCTGCTGTTGGGAGGCAGCTTGAGACTCGGCGAAATGTGATGACCGGAAGCCACTGAACGATCCTCCCAAGTTCTGTTGCGGAGGTGGATGGGGCTTGGGGCTACTGGGTGAAGCTGCCCAGGATTCTAGCAGAGCGAATATGATCAACCAGGACACAGCCGAACCAGCGCTGTAGTGCGATGAGCTTCCAGCTAGGCTGCTCCCCGGTACGACTTCTACACCACCTCTAGCAAGGAAGTTATATGCGAGCTCGCTGCATTGTTGGCCTTTTGCCAAACCAGACAACATATCGTATAACGCAGTGGACATGATAACATCACGAGTTTGCGTGGACCAGACTGCCCATTGAAGGAAGGAAGGAAGTCTGCCTGCATTGGTCTCCGTGAGCTCCAGATAGGTGAGACGATGGGTTTCGGTGAGTGGCGTAGCCCCCCAGAACTGCAGAGCTCGTTCGGGAGGAAGAATGGAGTATAGGAGACCAATGAAGGAGTACAACATGGCGATATCGTTGCGAGGATTTGTTTGAGGGTCTGAGTCTGGCCCAGAATGCGTCAACGATCGGAAGAGACGTGCGCTGGCGAGAACGATGTCCTCCTGACGCTGCTTGATCTTGCGTAGCTCTGAGGATGCATAGGTGATAACCGAGCGCACGAGAGCATCGCAAGCATTCAGAACGGCGAGCTTAAAGTCTTCATGAGGTGGTTCTCTTAGTTGCTCCTGCTCAGGGGTAAGCTCAATGAAGGCTGCGAACGACGTGGCTGGGGAGGTTCTGGACCTCTGCTGCAGCTGGATAAGCGCTGTGGTGAGGTACGTAAATGCATCACCCTGGACGGCGTTCCAAATCTGAGTCTCAAGCTCTGATGTTTTGAAACCCTCCCTGGCCTCCAGAGAGGGGTCTCGGTGACGGGTCTCTGTCAAGAGGAGAGTCCACTTCAGCAACACGGTTGCTTTCAACCCAGTATCCTTCCATTCGGTAGTGCGGGAGAGCTTCTGCTTCATGTATGTTATCATTGTGTTGTCTGTAGCCAGCCGTTGGCGATTCTTGCCACCGACAGAAGAGGGGTCCACCAAATCAAAGGCAGCCAGAATGGCGGTGAGGACATAGAATGTCATAGCATCGTTAGGATTCACGGATAGCCAGTCGAGGGATGTCCGGATATCGGATACCGTGAGACATCCAAGACGGGCGATCTGGAAGTAGACAGTGGCAAGGTATCGTCTCTCGTATTTGAGTGAGTCGCAGCGTGCACTGAGGATGTCGTAACCCAGAGTGGGTGAACCACCTTGAACAATGGTCTATCAGAGATCAACAACAGGGGAAGCCGTGGCAGAACTCACCGGAAGGAGCTACCGTATTGCTCACGGCACTTTGTTTTGCTTGTTGTGCCCGTGCAACTGTGTTCCCCAGGTTCTCCAGCTCCTTAAATATTCGCAATGCCAGTGACATCTCTCCCCCTGGCCCTTGTGTAGGTGGAACCAGTTCCAGCCTAGCGAAAGCTTCCAGTCGCTTGTAAAGTCGCGGTGCCTCTGGCAACTCAGCCAACTCTGCAGCCTCAAAGATGTAACGCAGACAATCGACCAGATGACGTTGTCTTTGGTGATATTCGACGACTGTGGCTTCCATGCAACCAACTGGGCCGATATTTGAATTTTCGGTCATGACGGAATGCAGTATGCTCGCGATGTATTTCTCGGAGGATTTAAGCTGCTGAGCGAGGAATATTGCCTGCTGAGCAAAATCCGCGTTGATTGCCAATGACCTGCCATTGATCGTGATCCTTCCTGTATAAATTATTGGATTTTACGCGTCGATGCAGATGCAAAGTACTCACCACTTCGCAGCTCTTGTTGTTCCTGTTGACTGCTCTGTCCTACCTGGAACAACTCAAGCAGCCGCTGCTTGTGCATCATGAGTTCGTCAAAAAGCTCTTGCTCTCCATGTCCACGAGAACTTAGGCTTGTTAAAAGTACACTTCTAAGTCGCGATATTGACTCCATAGTGCAGATGCTTGTCGGAGACAAGGCGTTAGTTGGAATTTGCACCTTGTACGCGTGGGAATATTGGCGGTCCACCGGAGACCGCGCGGTGGACTTGGGGATATTGCTCGCTCGCGTGCTCGCCTCAATGATGAGTCGTGTTTCCGCTCTTGCTCCCAACTACAATGACTGAAATATCGTACAGACAATATGTAGGCGAATCTGATTTACCACACATTATGGCTCTCGTTCAGAGTGAGCTCAGTGAGCCATATGTCATATATACATATCGTTATTTCCTCCATCAATGGTAAGTCTTCCGTTATCATTTATTTCGTTTGGACTTACCTTCGCGAACGTAGGCCACAACTAGCTTTCCTCGTGCGTGTTACGAACCCCTTTCTATCACCTGAAATGAATGCTTAGATGTCACCCACTTCAGGCAATACCTGCGGGATCGTCGGAACCGATAGGCGTCATCGTGTGCAAGCAGAGCATGCACAAGCATGCCTCGAATAGAGGTTATATCGCTATGCTTAGCGTCAATAAGAGCTGGCGCAAACGTGGTGTAGGTATGCTGTAACAACGTGCGCTTTTATCCAATCATCTGTATTTAACCGCCGGTTCCAGCAAGCACGTTAGTCAGACGATCAGTGGAAGTCATGAGACGACATGGAGTAGATGAAGTGCGTATTTCATATCCAGATTTCGGAGGTTTGCTGACGCCCAACTAGGTCGTCCTTGAAACCGAGTATGACAATGCACCGGCTCTTTCCCTCTACGAATCCTTGGGGTTCATTCGCGAGAAGCGGCTGTATCGATTCTACCTTAACGGAAAGGATGCATTCCGTTTGGTTCTCCCTGTTCCTCCATCAGAATTGGACCGAAACCTCCCCCACTACATGAAGCGTTCCCCAACCCACAACATTCTCTCTTATCCAGTCGCTTCCGATGACGAAGACGAGGTCTCATATCGTTGATTCCAGTCACACGACTCATATCATTTCGCCTGATCCTAACATCCTAATTTGGCTGTCTAGTCATAATGGCCCTAGCTGTGCATCGTCTCAGTTGTACGTGTATAACCACTGCTCAACCTAGGTTCAACCATTCATCTCCTGTATCTCATCGTATCGAGGCACTATACCCCACATACATGCGATGCTCTCACTTGCTGTAGTTATATTTGTAGATTGTAATCTTTTCATGTAGTTCATGATTCATCGATCGAGATTTTGCCTATATAGAGCCCTTCTTCCTCAGACGCGCAGGCGTTAAGTGCCGTAACCGTGACCTGCGAAGTATGACTGACTACTTCGTCTGTTCGGAAGGCTAAACGTTACTGCCTATACTTAAATCCCAGCGATAAGTATAACGGTATCGCGTTACTATATATGGACCAATGATGGACGTTTATTGCTGCCGTTGGCCGCTGTTCTGCTCCGTTCCGGGTTGCTTCTCACAGCCAAGTTCCTGGTAGCTTGTCCCAAAACGTCCAGTCGCGTTCTGGAGGCAGGTCTCACGCGACCTGATAAGTGCCCCAGTGCTTTTCGTTGATAGCAGACCGCCATGGTCTTCTCCCAACCTGCTGGTTTTGCTACCGCATTACTGTTGATCACCCCATATACGCCAAACATTGTAACCGTTGAAACTACACCAGGTTGTTTAACGGACAATTTCTATGGAACATACGGAGGACGGAGCGTTTTCCGTCTCTCACTTCCATGCCTTGATAGCAGTTCTTTCCATGGCTTAGACGAGGCCTCTCTGGTTCCATATGAAGCCAACGGTGACCGGGAACTTATATGGCTGCAAGAGGCGGCTATCGATAGTGCTCTGGTAACTCCAGAGTACCAGGCGGAGGTCCAGGATTTCTTCAGGTGGTTGGAAGAGGACGGACACATTATGGGAAGTGGACAGCAGCTATCTGGTCATCAGCAGATACTGTCTGCTGCAGATCCTGGGATAGAGTTGCAGTTGGTAAACATCCAACCAGAAGGAGGATCCTACGGCCTCATCGCCATCGAACCAAGTCTAGCGCCCAGCATCGAGGCGCTGCTCCCTCGCTACTGGAAGCCATACACTCTACCCAAACAACCCTCGTCGTATCTCCCGGTCCCAAAACCTGCTCTCGAACACGTCAGGAACCTCCTCGAGACTGTTCGCTTCGACCCGACTGTCTCATCAGTCGTGAACAGCATCTCCTTGATTCAGATGCGGAAAGATATCAGGTGGCTCACCGGTGAAGATGGAGTGTCTGGAATCGTCTCCCGGCACTCATTCGCGGACGGCTCTCGTGTCGCTGCTGCTTGGCTCAAGGAGCGTTTCGAGGAGACGGGCGCAACTTGCGAACTCAAGCCTTTCATGCGCGGATTCGCACCGAACGTGGCCTGGTAAACAAGATCTGCTCGTTCTTCTAGTGTTTGCTTAGTGAATCTATAGCAAATACTCTGCGTCGGTGGACACAACAGCCACTGTCCTCATATCTGGGCATTATGATTCTCGTGGCTCCTTTGGTTCGCAGAGGGTAATGTCTATATCTACGTCCCCCATGGTCATGCTCTGAATAGATGTCAGGCTCCCGGAGGAAATGATGATGGCTCAGGCACTATCGCCCTTCTTGGTATCGCACGTGCCATTGCCAACACCGGCGTCAAATTCCGCAGCAATGTAGAGCTCGTCGCGTTTGCAGGCGAGGAACAAGGCCTGTACGGTTCAAAGGCCTATGCCCGTGAGTCAACCATCTGTTAGTACGCATCGAAAATTTAAGACACCATGCAGGCGAGATGCGCCAGAAGAATGCAAATATCACTGTGATGATCCAGGCTGATATGCTTGGGTACCATGCCCCAGGCGAACCTCCTCAACTTGGACTTCCGATGTAGTGCGTCCTTTTTACCTAATAAGCTGGATCCGACATAAAGAATCTTTTGCATCACACAGCATCGGTACTGTAGAAGTGGCTCAACTTGTTTCCAACATGTCAGCCATCTACAGCCCTGAGCTTACTGTGGGCTACACCGCTGCATGCTGCAGCGATCACCAGGTTAGTTTTATCACTCCATGTATGCACAAACACGTGCCGACTGGTATCGTGCTCCTCTAGTCCTTCCACGAGCAAGGATTCCCTGCAACCCAAGTGTTTGAGCGTGCTGGCCCAATTGCGGACCCCATGTACCACAACAGCGGTCAGTCTCGTCCCCTCCCCTTCCATTTCATCCCAGAGCTAATAATATTCCTGCAGCTGATCTTAGCGAACGTCCCGGCTACGACCTCAGCCAGATTCGTTCCATTGCGAAAGTTCAGGTTCGTTCCTCTTCGTATAACACTCGCGTTCTTATCTTGATGAATTCGCACACAGTTCGCCACCCTGCTACATGCCGCAGGGTTCGATTTTTCTGATGACGAAGACCTGAAGTGATGTGTGCATTCTGTTATACCACAGAAGTTCTGTCTTCATGTATATCCCTTTGACGAGGAAAGCAACCAATTTTGATCTCTGTGATGGCGTTGGAACAAGGGCTGCTACGTTCTGCATGCTCGCACAACTGGACCATACACTGCATGAGCACAAACTCTGTTAACTGAGCCGTGACGCGCCATCTTAGCGCATATATGCAGCTCTCGTTCATTTGCGAAACACGTACCCTCAGGCCTACACTAGTGGGAAGTTTGAGTCCTACGCGGTACTTGCAAGTGTTGTCCTCCGTCTATCACACACTTGTTCACCCCCAGCGAGTTGGTTCCAATGGATGCCGAGGGGTACACCAGGGACAACCTCCATTGTTACGGCCTGTAGCTGAATGGTGAGCAGAAGAGCCATTGATCCGATATAAAATTAGCACATTTACAAGCCAAAGATGACGGGCATTTCATAAACGATTCAGAGTCGGAATTCCCCTGTGCCTCCAATTGAACGTGGACCCAGTGATTGAGTCAGATATCATACATTTGCTTCGGTAGACATGGCGATACCACACCGACTGTTCGAACCACTATGCTGCATAAAGCGCGAGCACCCCCGCACGCACCGTGTTCGGGATATCTTCGTCCACCTTTTTCCAAAGTTGCGCCTTTCCCTTCGGCTCAATCACAACACTTACCCCGTCGCTCAAACAATTGCAAAAATAAAACTCGCCCTGACAAGAAAACACATGGTCGACACTGGTCTCCACGTCTTCCAAAACGCCCTATATGGCGTCATCGATTTAATTCCATAACTTTGACTCTGCGTAGATCAAACATGTTGTCAGTCCAGTCTTGACTTCAGGGGTCAATATTATTCACGACGTCTGCGAGGTATCGTGATGACGAAGGTCAGCGCCGAAATATCGACATATAATAGGACACACCCCATTGGCCGGGCGGAACGTCGAGCTCTTGGAGTCATTAATTAGGGTTGCTAGTAGAATCCACAAGTTCTGTCCATCGATGCGAGGGAGGTCAGTTCAGGTAAATATTGACATGCGATAGGTTGCACATGACTGTCATTTTCGTGGTGGGAAGTAATCGGTTTTTTGTACCTGCTCTCAACGAGGTGGCGTCCATACGCATGGGCCAGACAGAAAAGTTAGAAAGTAGAGTGGCCCGTGTCTCCCACCCACGCCGCTATCACTCTGGAGTCCGCATACCTCCAACTCCAAGCACGCTCTCCAATGGACGCTTTTCTTCCCAAGTCCTTGGCAACCGCTGCCCTCGCTGCATTGCTATCATGATAATGACAGAAATGAGTCGAGGCATGGTGGTCATGCCTTGGAGATCTCGTACTTGCCCGATGGACAGAAAATCATCACCTGCTCAGGATGGCTCGCTCGAACTATAGAATTTTGAGAGTGTCGCATAAGATGATGGCAGGCGAGACGAGGGAAGTGAGAATATGAAACCCCGATCCTAGATCGGTGGGGTGGATGGGACTCGAAGTTCTGGGCGCTTCAGCTGTACAGCCTTTATTGGATGCTGTAAGCTGTGGACACGAGGATACCGCATGTAAAACGTACATTAACAAGCCAAACTTCCATTCTGAATTGACCAAAACGCTCATGGTGTCTTCGTGTCGAGACGTCTGGTCCTGCTGAAAACATATCCTGGTAAGTGATGACTTTTAACTGTGATGGATGACATTGGATGCATCGATCAAAGCTGAGACAATGCTGCCGTCTGTATTAGTTGAAATCCTGGATTATGTCTTCCTTCCGTTGGCTGAAGACATCAGCGGTAATGCCCTGCCAGAAATTTGAAGGACGAACCGGATCCAAATCTGTCAAGGGCATCATACACCTGCCAGATGGAGAGCGGATCATTACTTGTTTACAGGACAGCTCGCTCCGAGTATGGAACTTGGAGAGCGGGAAACAGATCGGGGACCGATTGGCGGGACGGAGAAAGTGAAGTGTCCACCATAGCGTTGTCTCTGGATGGGAAGAAAATTGTTAGCGGGGGTATGGACGGTGCAGTGAGGTTGTGGAGGCATCGACACTGGCAAGGTCGTCGCTAAATGGATAGGGCACACAACGCATCGTGACTTCTCTCTGCTGGAGTCGAGATGGTCTGCGAGTGTTAAGCGGATCCTCCGATGGGACTGCGAGGCAGTGGGACATGGAGAACAGAAATACAATCCTCGGAATCAGTGACTGGACACTGGGTGTCCGCAGTCGTCTACTCGCCAGACACGGCCATGATTGCGACTGGTGGATCTTATGAGGACGAAAACTTGATCAAAATATGGGATGCGAAGACACACAAGCTCATCAAAATTCTCAAAGGACACACAAGTGCAGTGGGGTGCCTAGTCTGGACCGCAGATGGAAAGACAATTATCTCCGGGTCATTCGATTCCTCTATTAGAACATGGAATACCACAACATGGCAGCAGATCGCCGTTCTGTATGGGAACAGCAGTATCAATGATATTTCATTATCTCCAAATGGCCGCATCCTCGCGACTGCACCGACCGACGAGACAGCGCACTTGTGGAACCTCGAGAACGGCCAGCATATCAGTTCGCTCCCTCAGCCTAATAGTCAATCTCATTCATTCCTTGCGATGGACCGCGTATCATTTTCGGCCGATGGAAAGCTTCTAGCCGCTGGCTGCAGTGACAACAATACTTACATATGGGACATTTCTGCAATTCTTAAAGAAGCTGGCCTCGAGAATCTTCTGTTGGATCAAAATGTCAGTTTACAAGGATTTTCTTTCATTCTAGGAACTGAATGCGCCTTCCCAGCTGCAGGACAAGGCGTTACCACTCAATGTATGTGACACAACAATGGCACATTTATAAAAAAAATCTCATTGCGGTCCAATATATGTTCTCTAGGATGATGCTACACGACGTCCTGTGAAGCGACACCATGATGCCCATCGAGTACTCCCAGGATTTTTCGACGACCCACCAGGTCGTTCTCACGTACGTTGTTAGCGTCTCATCCTATTAATGTTTTCCTGACCTCCATGCTTTTAGTTTTCTTCACGAAGCCGCTCCTCTGCATGGAAGCACCCTTTTTGGCCGCTTTCCCTCTTTATTCCGCCGCACCCATTCCGACCCCTGCGATATCTCTGGAACGCAGTGCAGACCAGATGGTGAGGCGATTCAGCACCGCTCAGCAGTAGTCGATGTACCGCATGCACAGGGAAAACGCGTATGTTCTTTTCTTCCTTCCAGATGTTTCAACCCCATCTGATATCATATACTAGAGGAACGCTTCTGCGCGAGAGAAACGGAGGCCAATTCCATTGAAGCCGAAAAACGCTGCTGCAGGGAGCTCGCAGCCTCCCAAGGCCAATGTCACACAACAACCTAGTGGTGCAGCTCACCCTCAGTCATCTTTGCAATCACTGGCTACTGTCTCGCCATCCACCACACCTGTTGTCGCCGCTACTTCCGCAGCTACGACGTCGACGACTCCGCCTCCTCATGTCACCATAAAATATGCTGGACGCTGGACTCGATTTTGGCTTTTCATCTGTTGTGCTTCTCCTGAATATACCGAAGGTCATCATTAATATACTACTTTCTCGTCTTTCACAAGGATCTCTCATATTTTGACCACTCTTCCTTGGATCTGCAACTCACCCTGCTACGTGACTGATTTTTTTTACCCTTCAATGATACCACACTCATCATCGCACATCTGTAACACTCATACTTTGTAGTTTTTATTGTTGTCAATGCCGCTGCATAATCCAATCTATCATTCAAATTTTCTGTTGATTTTTCCATCCTATTCCTGAACCTTCGTTGACCATTCCGAAACTCCGTGGCATATCTAGTGCTAGTCAGTATTTGACTTCTGGGTTGACGACATGAGGGCGAGAGATGCGTGTAAGTATCGGATGACGTCACTGATAACTTTCTATTGTGACATCGGGTCCCTCCTTGACGTCGTCGTCCAGGTCCTATGGAGGGTGACACACATCCAAGCTATCTTGACGAGGTCAGATCTAGCCTGACAGTGGATTCTCAAAGTTGGAAAATTCAAAGCTGAAAAATAGAATGATTCGTCTCTCCCACCAACTCCTCTGGCATGCTTCCAAGAGGACTACTCCAATGGACGTCTGGATCCCTAAAGTCCTTGGCAACCGCCGCCCTCGCTGCCTCGCTATAATTAGGGCATGGCGGAATTCGTCCCTTGGAGATCTCGCACTTACCTGATCATCACCTGTTCAGAGGATCGCTCGCTCGAAGTATGGAACTTGGAGAGTGGCGCATTGGATATCAGATGACGGGCATGACGAGGGTGGTATGGCAACTTTCAATATACCATTGGCGTCGAACGGTGTGACAATGTGAATGAGGATGGCACAGTGAGGACATGAAACATCGATCCAGGTAAATTGAGCGGGAAAAGTACGTGGAAGGCGTGCACAGTCTGTCCGTTGTAGATTTGACGGAACGTCATTACGTGATTCGAAGGTCTGGGCGCTTAAGCTGCACAGCCTATTATAGAATGCTACACGAGGATACAGCATGTAAAACGTACATCAACAAGCCAAACTTCCATTCTGAATCTCCATCGACAAAAACGCCCATGGTGTCTTCGTGTCGATACGTCCGGTCCTGCTGAAAACGTCTTCTCGTAGCTAGTAAGTGATGACTTTGGACTGTGATGGACGAAAGCTGAGACTGCGCTGCGCTCGGTAGTTAAAACATGTCTTCACCAATTTCTTGGATGCTGGACGCATCACCTGATAACGCCCCGTCAGAAATTTGAAGGACACACTGGATTTGTCTCAGGCGTCATACACCTACCAGGCGGAGAGCGGGTCATTACTTGTTCATGGGATGGCTCGCTCCGAGTATGGAACTTGGAGAGCGGGAAACAGATTGGGGACGACTGGCGGGACGGAGACATCAAAGTGTGGACCATAGCGTTGTCCCCGGATGGGAAGAAAGTGGTCAGCGGGAGTTTTGACGGTGCAATGAGGTTGTGGGTCATCGACACAGGCAAGGTCATCGCTAGATGGATAGGGCACACAAACATCGTGACTTCTCTCTGCTGGAGTCGAGATGGTCGGCGAGTATTAAGCGGATCTCACGAAGGGACTACGAGGGAGTGGGACGCGGAGAGTGGGAAGATCATCCTCGGTCCATTCGAGACCGGTTACGAACGCGTGTGGGTAGTTGTCTACTCGCCAGACACATCCATGATCGCGATTGGTGGATCCTGCGCCAAGGACGGAAATACCATCAAAATCTGGGATGCGAAGACACGGACGCTTGTCGCCACTCTCAAAGGACACACAAGTATGGTGGAGTGCCTAGTTTGGACTGCAGATGGAAAGTCGTTTATGTCCGGGTCGGCCGATTGCTCGATTAGAACGTGGAATACCACAACATGGCAGCAGACCTCCGTTCTGAATGGGAGCACCAGTATTCGTACCATTGCAATATCTCCGAATGGCCGCATCCTCGCAAGCTTACCTTCCGACCAGACAGCGAGATTGTGGAACCTAGACAATGGCCAACCCATCAGTTCGCCCCTCCGTCATGCAGAGGCAGTGTTCTGCATGTCAGTTTTCAGCAGATGGAAAGCAGCTGGTGACTGGCGGCGGTGACAACAACATGTACACATGGGACATTTCTGCAATTGTTAAAGACGCTGGCCTCGACAATCTGTTGGATCCAAATGTCAGTTTATAAGGTTTCCTTTCATTCTAGGAACTGAATGTGCCCTCCCAGCCGCAGGGTGGTGACAAGGCGTTACTTGATGTAGGTGGCGCTTTATAAAAAACATTTTATTGCTGTTGAATATGTGCGTTCTAGGATGATGCTACACGACGGCCTGTACCGGCGACGCCATCATTCCCTATCGATCGCCTCCAGGTTTTTTCGACGACCCTACCAGATCGTTCTCACGTATGTAGTTAGCGTCTTATCCAATGTTTTCCTGACCTTCATATCTTCAGTTCAATCCACGAAGTCGCTCCTCCCGGACTGCAGTTCATCCTCGTGCCGATCTATCATCAACACCGCATGGAAGCACACTTCTTGGCCGCTATTTCTCCTTATTTCGCCGCACCCACTCTGATACACACGATGCGCCATCCCGATCCCGCTCTCTCGACTGGGCTCGAGACCTTTTTCCTCAGCGCAGAGGAAATGGCGAAAGAATTGAGCTGCAGGAGCAACCAACAATGGTCGACTGTTCCGTATGCACAGGGAAAACGCGTACGTTTCTTTTATTGTTGGGCTTCAACTTCAGCCTCATATCATACAGAGGAACGCTTCCGCACGAGAGAAACTGGAGGCCAATTCCATTGAAGCCGAAAAATGCTGCTGCAGGGAGCTCGCCACCTCCCAAGGCCAGTGCCACGCAGCAATCTAGTGGGGCAGCTCACCTCCAGCCCTCTTCGCAACAACTGGCTACTGTCGCGTCATCCAGCACACCTGCCGTCGCCGCTACTTCCGTTGCTACAATGTCGACCACTTCGCTTCCTAATGCAACCATAAGACATGCTGGACGCTGGACTCAGTTTTTGGCTCTTTATCTGTTGTACTTCTCCTGAATATACTGAAGGGCCATCATTAATCCACTACCTTCTTGTCCATCACGAGAATCTCTCTCATTTTTTCCCAGTTTACCCTACAACTCGTCATTGGTGTGTTCTGCCTAGACCCCCTACTACGTGACTGATTATTTTTCCCCGTTTTTTTCTCTCGACGATATCACACTCCCCATCATCTCCCATCATCATATGTAACACTCAGACAGCTTCAGACATTGTATTTCGTATCGTTAGGCTCCTCAATGCCGCTGCATGATCCACTGTATCATTCCTGTTGATTTTTGTACCTTTCTAAAATCGCTGAACCTTCTTCTGTCCAGTGTGTCAATCTTCCGAAATTCCGCGCAAATGATAATATGCTACTAGTGAACACAAGCTTGACTTCTGCGCCGACGGCGCGAGGGCGAGATACACTAGATGCAGCACAATGTGCGAGCTTATTCCGGAAGTCGAATGCGGAGCGTCACCAAGATGTGATGTCGTATCGAGCATACCACATGTTCTCTATTAGACGATCAAGGTCAATGCGTCACATACAAGGTATCTGATTCCTACTTTCCAGAATTCAGACTCTCGTCCGAATGCGAGCGCGTGGCTACCATGATTCATCGGACGAGGAAAAATAGGATTGGAAGTCAAGGGGATAACCTGCGCGGAGTGCTGTGAGATTGGGAGGCGGACTGAGTTGACAAACCTTTGACGTGGGCACAGTTAACTTGATTCGTGTTCAAGCACTCGGATGTCCTTGGAGAAATCAATTCACATTATGCTAGAGTAAGCCCTGGAATCATACACGGCAAAGCACAATGCGATCGGGCGCACGTCCGACACATCACTAACAGTGAAAGTCCGGGCGATGTAGATGTTGTTGCAGTAAAAGATGAGTGACGTGCGTGACGACTCCTCTAATGGCAATAACATCATATATCAATCTTCCGCAATAGAGACACAGTTGTAACTTACGATTAGTGCTGCCGTGGTCCGGTCCCGAACCATGGTTCGAACCTGACCAATGGTCAGGTTCGTCCTTGGTTCGGTCCATGGTTCCACGTTTTGGACGGACCGGACCAGAATGAGGTCCGCGGTCCACCATCACCCGAACGGTTCGGGCATAGGTTCAGACCTTCCCGAACCGTTCCGAACCCCGAACCGAAGTGTCCTCGCGATATCGGCGAGGCACACGCTGATGGTCACTTCGACTTCGACTTCAACTTCTGCCCTCATGGTCACTTTAACTTCTGAGATCCTCAAGATTTGCACCGACTTTGAATTCTGTCCGGAGGCTCGCATCCCGCACCCCCGGCTCTCAAATAAGGCTCAAGGTACGAATCAACTGTCAAATCAAGCACATTTTTATTTATTTTAACATTGATATATTTTCAGGATCCTCCAATGCATATCACTTTGGAGATCGGTTGTTTACTTTGTTTGCAGTTAAAAGGAGCAAGCCCCACCAGGTGAGTGATATTTCCACTCAACATCATGTCTGAATCTGACGCATGCGCCCTCAATGCTGATGGATCTCTTAAGGACGCCAAGGATATCGTCTTTTATCATGATCCTGATGATACTGTCCCGCTCTCTACTCCTTCCTCTGCGCCTACTCTCACAGGTTGCAAACCAGTGCCAGTTACAGCTGGTTCTCGACGATCCATTCGCAAGTCCAAGCCATCTGCTCGCCTGCGGGATACCGAGAATGTTTATTCCTCAATGAGCCGAAAACGTGCTTTATCCAGCGCTAACGAAATTCAACCGGCCCGCAAGAAAGTTCTATCGTCTTTATTATCTGATGATAGCCTTGACGACAGCGATACTGATCCTTTGGAGCCTGGCGCTGACCAGCCCGAAGCCGAAGATGAATCCGAACCTGACGATGACACCGAACCGGATGACAGCGCTGAACCCGAGGCTGTCCAAGCTACTTTGGCAAAGAGCGAACATACCGCTGACATTCACACCACCTTCACTCGCCATGAAACGCACTGGGTCTGCAACCCTTGCAAGTACGTAGTTATCACTGCATGCATTGTTTTCTGCTAACAGTGTTTGGTAGGGATGCTGGTGAACCCAAGAGCAGGCACATCTTTCGAGGAGGTATCTCTACGCTGTACACTCACATTAGTCGGTACGTTCATGTTCTCTCAGTGAGATCTCTTGACTTTTACTAACATATTCTATCAGGAAAAAAAAACCACTTTCAGTTCTACAAGGCTCGCTGCCAAGCTGCAGGAATTGTAATGCACCCTCGCACTATTCCAGCTGACGAGGATCGGGCCCTGTGAGCTTTAACTAACATTTTGTATATTGTGAAACTGAATAATTGACAGGTCAAGGCAATCTACCCTCGATGCTATACTTGTCACCAAAGTGCCTACGTTCACCAAGGCAGGGCTCCTGGAGTATATAATGGAGTTTATTGTGACTGAAGATGAGGCGCTGCAGCTGGTTGACAAACCAGCTTTCCGAAACTTACTTCGCTATGTTCGCACTGGCCTTACTGAACGTGACATCCCTCACCGCACGAAGCTCACTGAAACCATCAAGGCACGTATGGAAGCTGTAGTCAATGTTATACGCGAACATCTTGCAAAGGTTGATAGTAAAGTCTCCATGATGTTCGACTCCTGGACTTCAATCATCGGCGACCCGTTTTTTCTCCGTCACTGGCCATTATATTTGGAATCCAGATGACAAACCCCAACAATGGGAGTTACATCGCGAGCAGCTTAGTTTCGAACACATCGAGGGCAATCACAGCGGGCAAAACATTGCTCGTTTGCTTATCGACTCAATTGACACATACAACCTCCGAGAAAAGGTAAAGTCTGGCCTACTATCCTACTGCCTACAGCGAAGCTAATGGTTCATATAGCTCGGGTGGATGACCTCCAATAACACGAGCAACAACGATACTGCAATGAAGGAAGTCGCTCGTCAAATTGATCCAGAGGGTGTCCAGTGGATACCAGCCACACACCGCATCAGATGCCAGGAGCATATACTAAACCTTGCAGCAAGACACTTCGTAGATGCGGTTGCACCTACTCCTCAAGCTGCGCTTATGAAGAAGATCCGTCAGGCGCTCGATACAGGGAACAATGATGATCTCGACGTTTTGAATAAGGAGCTCGCAGCCATGGAAGTTAATGGTGATTGTGAGAAAGATGACGTGTTCAACACTGGTGATTCGCTCGGTAAAGCCCTCGCACTCATTGAGCAGGTACGTACTACATTATTATTCTATGCTCTTGCTGATTGGTATTATTAGATTTGAAAATCGCCTCAAGCTCGTGCCTTCTTCAAGAAGGCCTGCAAAGAAGAGAACGTCCCCGAGCTTGAGTTATTGCAGTGGATTAGGACTCGTTGGGCTTCGCTATATAAATGTATCGATCGCATGATACTCTTACGTCGGGTAAGCCTTTTTTTTTTAATCAGTGTTCATCAGTCTGATATATATTTATAATTGAATAGGCTGTGAACCACTTCACAAACCTCGCTGACGAAAGTAAAGAAGTGCTGAATCTTCGCAACAAGTCTTATGATGATTTCAAGCTCGATCGGAACGATTGGAAACACCTCACACTCATTCATCAAGTCCTGAAGGAACCAGCGACTGCCCAACAATCCTTCTCATCTGCGAAACACCCAACTGCATCACAAACGATCCCTACGTTGGAATGCCTTGCTGACCGGTGGCAAGAGATGACAAACGACGCGCAGTACGCACCAATCGCAGACGCAATCAAGCATGGACTCAAGAACGTTGATAAGTACTACAAGAAAACGAGTGACTCTGACGTATATTTCATTTGTCTCGGTGAGCATTAATATTATTTTCACGCGCACCCTCATATAAATTACATTTACAGTCCTCGACCCCAACTACAAGCTTGCCTATGTCGAAGATCGATGGGACACTCGAGACGTTGCGGATGGTAGGGCTCATCTTGAGGCTGTGGTAAGTAATATTATTTCTGTCTGCTCACTATCCTTCCTGAATTTACGTTTACAGTTTGACGAGTATTATAAACCGCCAGCTCGGGCACCTGCCAAAGAACCCACTCTGCCAACAAGACCCTTGCATGAAAATCGGTACGGTGATGCATGGATGCGCGAGGCCATCAAAACACGTCAAGCCGCGGACCAACGTGCTCATAATCCTCGTCAAGAACTCACAATGTATCTGTCTTCGCCGCTAGAGGAAGTTGACAACATTGTTGCCTGGTGGGGAGTAAGTAATCTCATTGACCTGTTCATTCGATGTGTAGCTATGAGTACAAGTACTATCTACGTTTTTGTTGTGCACTGTAAAATATCGATGTTTTTTTTTGGCTCGCTGTTAAAAAAATTAGGTTCGGTTCACGTTCGAACCTGAAAATAACCGGACCTGACCATTCCGAACCGTTCGCAAAGGTCCAGTTCGGGGTTCGTTGAGTCTGGTAGAACCGGACCTAGGTCCAGTTCTTGGTTTTCGCTCATCCCTCTGTGAACCTGACCAAACCGGACCACGGCAGCACTACTTACGATCATAGAGCAGTCCAACCACAACAGGATGAAGCAACTTGAATGTCCCGAGGCTGGAGCTGCATCTGCACGGAGATAATGGATAGAAAATTCGCTGAGCGCTGGGTATAGTATACAAGGAGAAAGGAGAGATCATATTCGAGCCAATCAAGACTGGGCACGAATACATTTGTGTAGTCATCTACTCGCTTGACACAAACATGATCGCAACTGGTAAATACAAGGAGCAGGAGCCCTCGGTCAAAATCCGGGATGCGAAGACAGGCGACCTCGTAACTGGGTGTGATTGTACAGCGACACGGGGAACATAGCGGAAATGGATTGTCACCAAATTGAAAAAAAAGAACTGCGGGACTGCGAGAGTTCGGATGGAAACCATGATGGGTTCCAACGAAGACCGATGAAGACCGAGCGGCGTATGTTACGAGCTTATCATGTCGTATACTGAAAATGACGACTGATGAAGTCGCGGGGTGCAACCTTGACGCTGGGAAATAAGGTTTGGGCGCTTCAGCTGCACAGCCTATGAAGCTGTGAAGTGAAAACACGAGGGAACGACCTTGATTGCGACTGCTGCCAGTGACTCTGAGTCGGAATTGAACGGATACTGCGTGTCCTCGTTCAAAATCTGGGATGCCTGGAGGCGAGCTTGTCACCACTCTCAAAGAACACACGAGCACAGTGTTTTGCCTGGCTTGAACCAGGGGTGGAAAGACACTCATCTCCGCGTCTTTCGATGGCTCGATTAGGATTTGGGGTACCAGTGGCACGACATGGAACCAGCTCGCGTTTTTGACGGAGCACGCTTCCCCTCAGGCTATCTTAGGCTTTGCGATATCCCCGAATGACCATATCCTCGCGAGCGCACCGTCGGACAGTACAGCGCGATTGTGGAGCCTCGAGAATGGCCAGTCCATCAGTTCACCCCTTCAGCATCCACAGTCCATCAACAGTAGTGGACTTCGTATCGATTTCGGCAGATGGAAAGCTGCTAGCAACTGTTTGCTATGACCACAACGCGTACACATGGAATGTTGCTGTGAATTCTTAGAGAGGCTGGCCTCGACGACCTTCTGTTGGACCCAGATGTGAGTTGAAAGGCATTTCTCATTTCATCATCTGACCACGCAGGACGGTAACAAGGCGTTTCTCGATGTATGCACACGTTTATAAACATCATCTATTCGTGTTTACACTTCACCTTATGCTGATGCTACACGACGTCCTGTACAACGACCCCAGGATGCTCATCGAGTACCCCGGGGTTTTTTCGACAATCAACGAGATTGTGCTGACGTACGTTGTTAGCGTCACATCGAGTTTTTTCCTGACCGTCATCTCAGTTCTCTGCACGACGCCATCTCTCCCGCTCCTCCGCACTCCGCCATTTGTCGGATGGAAGCTCTCTTATTGGCCGCTTTTCATTGTTCTGCCACACCCAATCTGCCCATCCCGATACATCCCTGTCGACTGGGCTCGAAACATTTTTCCTGGGACACGGTGCAGACAGAATGGTGAAGGAATCGATAGCCAAACATTTGTCGACGTCCTGTATGCGCAGGGCCAACGTGTATGCTGCTTTCATGCTTCCCTAATGTTTCAACTCCACCTGATATCATACAGAGAAATGCTTGCGCGAGAGAGAAACGGAGGCCTAATCTGCTGAACTCCAAAAACACTGCTGCAGGCAGCTCACGACCTTCCAATAGCAATCCAGCAGCGCAGCTCAGGCCCAGTCATCTTCGCAACCACAAGCTGTCGTCTTGGTATCGTCCACAGCACCTGCCGTTGCCATCACTTCCGCAGCTACGACGTCGCGCCCTGATGTAACGATAAGACAGGCCGGGCGCTGGACTCGTTTCTGGCTATTGATCTGTTGCACGTCTCCTGAATATACCGATGATCATCGATTTCCTTCGATCTCTATTTACATCTCGTTATCGGTATGTTCTACCTACTCGTGCTGCTCGTTCCGTTACGTGATTAGTGTTTCCGAACTGATATCTTCAAAGGTTTCCTGTGGTTAAGTTGGCCTTAGGTAAGATGTGTTTGAAAGCAGATATATCGGTATCCGCTGCAATGGTACCCTCGCTCGCCACTCCATGTGATGATGTCCGTTATTTCGTGAACAGATTTCTCCAAGGAGAATGATAGTGGAAATCGAGATACAAAGCCTGAAATGGGCACAATTGGAAGCGCGACCACAGTAGGATAACATGAGGCTGGGGTTGCATCACGACAATGCACAGCAAGGCGCCTCACAGTAGATAAACGACTGACATAGCAAAACAGGACACATCAAGACGGAGAATATGACGGAGTTTGGGAGGGTTTGGGGTAGGGACCGTAGTCCAATCCAGACAAGAATTAGGACTGCGTACATGTGTACTAAGACAACATGATTGAGAGCGAATTTGGCGTACAGCGGTAGCGATCTCCTTCGGGTGTTCTCTCTGTTATCGGACCTTTGTGAAGATGCATCGATGTTACCCACTGTAGAACATCCTTCGCACATCTAAAAATGCATCAATATGAACAGTCGACGAATAACAGTACATGGGGTGAGTGAATTAAATCTACCAGGGACCCGACTCTACTATCAAGTCCCACCAGACGGTTCCACGATGTCTTCACGCACATTCTTCTCCACCGACACACGAATACTAGACGCACCCTCTTCGCCCAGCATCTCAATATTCGACACTGGACCTGTGAACCAATGCACGCCGCCATACACAGGGCAATAGTACCACATGATAGACAACATGAGTAAACCACCTAGAACAACCACGGTGTAATTCATGTTCGCAACATCGGTTTGTGGCGTCGTCGGGAAGAAAAATACAATGTCCATGATGAACATGTAGGACACCGCAATGACAGCGACCGGAAAGCTCTTCAATTCACGGATCAATGGTCAACGCACATCTGATAAGCACCAAGCCTCCGACTCACGAAGATGCCCAAATTGAATGGACCGGGCTTGAAATCGTTTTTGAACGCGAAGCGCGCTGCGATTGGTATGATATATGCGATGTATAGTGCCGTCACGGAAAGAGAGAAGATAGCATTGATAGCTTGCGGGCCCGCGAAGGACAACAAGCCGAAGATGATCGAGATGGCGGCGACGAACCAAACGGTGTTGACGGGCGTCTTGGTGAAGCCGTTCATACGATACAGCCAGGATGAGAACGGTAGTGCGCCATCACGAGCAAATGCGAATGTTTGGCGGGATGAAGCAAGGACCATGCTCGAACCCATCATATATCTGCATCCAGTCAATAATAGTTCAGAGGGCACAATTGTCTACTTACTGAGCGAGGACGACGATGGACCATAATGCAAGCGTCGCGTTCTGGCCGAATCTGTCGAAGAAGATTTGAGCTAGGGGCTGTCCAATCGGGCTGCTGAGAAGGGAGTCCACGTCGGTGCCCATGCAGAATGCAAGAGAGACGTTGATTGCTGCAAGATGCTCAGCAACTTTCGAGAATTTTTCATGAACAAATACGCACCCCAGCCGAGGATTCCTGCGATCCCAATGGCGCTGACCTGGAATGCATTCAGCTTTTGCACCACAAATGTGAAACTCGAGGATTACAATGGCCCATGGGACAGCAGTAGCAGCATTTGACGATTCCTCGCTGATATGTACACTCGAATCAAAGGCGCCTGGACTTTATATCGACAACAATGCCATGTGCAAAGAGCTGTGAAAACATACCAATCGTCCAGGACGGTGCAAGGAAGCTCAGAATGAATGCGTAGCCATCTGGCCAGCCGTTCACTGTACATATCATTATGATATCAGTCAGGTTCATACTTCACTAGCGGAATGTGAAATTGCCGAGCGCATAGCTTGCACTGTTCATGTTCTCCTTCGGGGTGGCAGCAGGAAGGCCAATCATAACGGCGAGACACAAACTGTCCAGAGTATTTCAGATTCCCATGTATTCTGGTGTGTTCTACATGACTGCAGCACGAACCCCACATTGAGCACGACATAAACTGTTTGCAGTCTGGCCAGCACAGCAGTTCCCAAGCAGCATATCACCGCGTGAGATAGGACTATTGCAACATAGACTCCGCTGGGTGTTTACATCATGAGTAGGCTGCATTGAGCAGATCGGTGACTTGAAATGGCGCACAATGTCTGCGCACTTGTGGCGGTAAAGGTCTGGCCCGAGCCAATGGATGCTGCTGCCATGATTTGCACTGCACATCCCCAATCGATAGACGCTATCCAGAAGCTCATGCTAAGCAAAATAAAGCATCACAAGGCGACAATGAGCGTCTTACCGACAGCTGCTATGGTCCCAATGGTGTTTGAGTCTGATATCGGGTCATTATATCTCTGCTCGTCAAAATGGACGTGAAAGACTTACACCCAACAATCCAGGAAAGCAAATTTCTACACCGCGGAGATGACAAGGAGTGAGTCCAGAAGTATAACTGTAGTTCATCCACGTCATTCGAGGATACTACGTCGGGAAGACCAGACCGACTTACGCCTCCTGATGTTGGCGCTGCAGAACCCAATTCTGCCATCGACATCCCTATGCAGAGGATAAACAAACTGGCAACTGCCCACTATTGGTGAATGGGTGTGGGATACCGGTAAGTAAATATGCCATCCATCAGCATAATTCGCGCATGGAGTTACCACAGGAATCACGTACACCCCACACCATTGAGGCTGGTCCTCCATTAGGCACGGCGTAAAACAGAACAGAACTGTGCAGAACGGGTGAGACAAATGGCACCCTTGGGGGGAGAAAAAGTTGCAGGTAAAGAAGAGAGGACAACGTACGCGATCGAGGGCAGTAAGCCAATAATGCTGAAAGCTATACCAAATACCTGTGGTCAGCTTCGTCATCGGTTCTTCAATCACTGCACGTAGCAACGCAGATACCTCTAGGGGTGTGAATGCACGCTTGAACTCCTGCTCGTACCCGAGCTCAGCGAGCAATGCTTCGTCTGCCTTTGACACATAATGCAGTAACATATACCCGTCTCAGACGGGCAGCCGGGCGTGACAATGTACCAACAGAGACGGGCCACCCGGTGCCGGCCCATGGCAATAATTGTACCGTGTTAGACGAGTGGGCCGAGGGGGTGGAGTGTCCAAGGCAAACAGATGGGCCGGGTGTATATAGTATAGATGGTAGTATAGCAATGTACTATATAGGAAATTATGAATAGTAGTAGTGAATCAAGTGTGTGATAGATGAGTGGGCCGGAGGAATGGAGTGCAATATAGACGAGTGGGCCGGGGAACTGGGGTGTGATGGAGACGAGTGGGCCAGTAAATGAGGTGCAATGGAGACGAGTGGGCCGGTACATAAGGTGCAATGAAGACGAGGGGGCCGGAGAATAGGGTGCAATTGAGACAAGTGGGCTGGTATAGCAGGTGCAATGGAGACGGGTGGGCCGGTAAATATGGTGCAATTAAGACGAGTGGGCCGGTATAGCAGGTGCAATGGAGACGGGTGGGCCGGTATAGCAGGTGCAATGGAGACGGGTGGGCTGGTAAATATGGTGTAATTAAGACGAGTGGGCCGGTATAGCAGGTGCAATGAAGACGAGTCGGCCGGTGATATGGGGTGCAATGAAGACGAGCTGGCCGGTGATATGGGGTGCAATGAAGACGAGTGGGCCGGTGATATGGGGTGCAATGAAGACGGGTGGGCCGGCATTATAGGGCGCAATGGAGATGGGTGGGCTGGTGATATAGGGTGCAATGAAGACGAGTGGGCCGGTGATATGGGGTGCAATGAAGACGGGTGGGCCGGCATGATAGGGTGCAATGGAGACGGGTGGGCCGGTATTATGGGGTGCAACAACAACCGGTATTTATGTAACCGGTTGCTTGTGGTAACATAGCACTCAATCCGGCGATTCCACCGGTGGTCTGATCATGTAAAATGGTTAAGATTTGACAAAGTTATGAGCCCTACAAGGGAAAGCCATAAATTTAGAGGATATTATGATATATTGTATCTAGACCATTGCAACCGGTATTTTTTGACCGGTATTTACATGACCGGTTGCTTGTGGTAACATAGCACTCAATCCGGTGATTCCACTGGTGGTCTGACCATGTAAAATGGTTAAGATTTGACAAAGTTAGGAGCCTTACAAGAGAAAGTCACAAAGTCAGAGGATATATCATATCTAGACCATTGTGACCGGGATTTTTCAACCGGTAGTTATGTGACCAGTTGCTTGTGGTGACATAGCACTCAGTCCGGTGATTCCACCGGTGGCCTGACCATGTAAAATGGTTAAGATTTGACAAAGTTATGAGTCTTACAACAAGAGAAAGTGACAATTTCAGATGATATATCATGTCTAGACCATTGTGTCCGGTATTCATGTGACCGGTTGTTTATAGTAAAACATAGCACTCAATCTGGTGATTCCACTGGTGGTCTGACCATGTAAAATGGTTAAGATTTGACAAAGTTATGAGCCCTACAAGAGAAAGCCATAAATTTAGAGGATATTATGATGTATTGTATCTAGACCATTGCAACCGGTATTTTTTGACCGGTATTTACATGACCGGTTGCTTGTGGTAATGTAGCACTCAATCCGGTGATTCCACCGGTGGTCTGACCATGTAAAATGGTTAAGATTTGACAAAGTTATGAGCCTTACAACAAGAGAAAGTGACAATTTCAGAGGATACATCATGTCTAGACCATTGTGACCGGTATTTATGTGACCGGTTGTTTCTAGTAACAGTACTCAATCCGGTGATTTCACCGGTGGTCTGATCATGTAAAATGGTTAATATTTGACAAAGTTATGAGTGCTACAAGAAAAAGTCACAAATTCACTGGCAGAGGATATATGATATCTAGACCATTGTGACCAGGATTTTTCAACCGAAAGTTATGTGACCAGTTGCTTGTGGTAGCATAGCACTCAATCCGGTGATTCCACCGGTGGTCTGATCATGTAAAATGGTCAAGATTTGACAAAGTTATGAGTGCTACAAGAAAAAGTCACAAATTCACTGGCAGAGGATATATGATATCTAGACCATTGTGACCGGGATTTTTCAACCGGAAGTTATGTGACCGGTTGCTTGTGGTAACATAGCACTCAATCCAGTGATTCCACCGGTGGTCTGATCATGTAAAATGGTCAAGATTTGACAAAGTCATGAGCCCTACAAGAGAAAGTCATGAATTTAGAGGATATATGATATCTAGACCATTGTGACCGGTATTTTTTGACCGGTAGTTATGTGACCGGTTGCTTGTGGTAACATAGCACTCAATCCGGTGATTTTACCGGTGGTCTGATCATGTAAAATGGTCAAGATTTGACAAAGTTATGAGCCTTACAAGAGAAAGCCACACATTCAGAGGATATTATGATATATTGTATCTAGACCATTGTAACTGGTATTTTTTGACCGGTATTTATGTGACTGGTTGCTTGTTGTAACATAGCACTCAATCCGGTGATTCCACCGGTGGTCTGATCATGCAAAATCATTAAGATCTGACAAACTTATGAGCCTTACAAGATAAAGCCACAGATTTAGAGGATGTTATATCTAGACCATTGTGACCGGTATTTTTGTGAACAGTTGCTTGCAGTAATATAGTACTCAATCTGGTGATTCCACCGGTAGTCTGATCATGTAAAATGGTTAAGATTTGATAAAGTTCTGAGCCTTATAAGACCAAGTCATAAATTCAAAGGATACAGTGTTGTATCAGCTTATATCTGGACCATTGTAATCAGTATTTTTGCAACCGGTTGCTTGTGGTAATGTAGCACTCAATCAGGGGATTCCATTTTGCCCCTTTGATAGGAGAGTGTTCTAGCACTGTCAAAACATATTTAAGAGTATATATTAACTCATTCCACCACTTAGTTGACCCCCTGAAGGGCTACATCAAACAATATAGCATATATACATGAAAACATAACTGATAAGAACCCTCCAACACTATCAAGGATGTTATTGGTAATCAGACACTTGGGATATGTCCCATGTATATCCCTAGTCATGGTCCTAAAATTCTGGAAAGATCCCTCAAGTATTGACGGTAAGATAAGTAAAACAACATAGGCTTGACATATGACAATTTACCCCTGTCACTGAAAGTCACTGACACATATCACACACCAAAGATTTTATTAAAAATGCAGTAGTATGTATAGTAGACTACATAATGAACCTAAAATACACATTGCCCTGAAGGTAAAGTCTTTGTAGAAGAGTGTGGTGAGGAAATATTAGGATTGGTAAGTAAAAGTCCAACCACTACATATACACCAAACTGGTGAGTTTCGATGTTTTGGGCTTTTGGACTTTCCCACACTCTATTTCAGAGATATTTCACTGCCCTAGCTCTCAACTGTTAGTGGATCCTTTTATAAATCTGAGACCATGATATTGACCATGCTTAGAATATATTGCAAGCATCTGATTACTAGATTGTGTCCATTGGAGAATGTAGGCCCCTTATCAGTACACATACCCCCTTTCCCTTAGATAACAATATTATACCATATTTCTAACTGATCCTTGGGATGAGAAGTAGGTATATATGTAGTAAGGATAATATATGAGTAGTCTGGATCATTTATGCAATGGTAAAGTAGGGGAAAACACCAAAAATGTGACAACTGCAATCTTAGAAGTTTTAGCCTGTATAGAAGGATTCTGTAGGTATCCTGATGTACCAACCTGGTGTACATACTCTAAATCTGTCTAGGAATGGTCCCCATATCATTCTGCAGCTGTGTTCCTGTAGGAAAACCTTTCCCAGAGGATGGACCACCAGGAGAGGGTGAGTACACAGCATCACAAGGTTTTGTCTGTGGATGTTAAGGTCATGCTCAAAGGAAGGAGAACTCAAAGGGCTTGACTTCAGCTTGTGTGCTGCACCCCTTACCCAAGTATGTGCCCTTAATTTATGAGAGGCAGGAGGGAAGTCCAACAAAGTCCAGAGGTTTCCGGAGGTCAGACACTAGGGGAGTTCGGCGGAACTCCAGAGGTTCAAGGAAACCCAGAGTAAGACTGCTGTGGACAAGTCTGGAGTAGAAATGGAACAGAGGTAAACTACCCTAAGGTAGAGCTGGAGACACACTGGATCTAGATATAACATATCCTCTGAATGTGTGGCTTTCTCTTGTAAGGCTCATAACTTTGTCAAATCTTGACCATTTTATATGATCAGACCACCGGTAAAATCACCGGATTGAGTGCTATGTTACCACAAGCAACCGGTCACATAACTACCGGTCAAAAAATACCGGTCACAATGGTCTAGATATCATATATCCTCTAAATTCATGACTTTCTCTTGTAGGGCTCAGGACTTTGTCAAATCTTGACCATTTTACATGATCAGACCACCGGTGGAATCACCGGATTGAGTGCTGTGCTACCACAAGCAACTGGTCACATAACTACCGGTTGAAAAAATCCCGGTCACAATACTGTAGATATCATATATCCTCTAATTCTGACTTTCTCTTGTAGGGCTCATGACTTTGTCAAATCTTGACCATTTTACATGATCAGACCACCGGTAAATCGCCGGATTGAGTACTATGTTACCACAAGCAACCGGTCACATAACTTCCGGTTGAAAAATCCCAGTCACAATGGTCTAGATATCATATATCCTCTGACTTTGTGACTTTTTCTTGTAGCACTCATAACTTTGTCAAATCTTGACCATTTTACATGATCAGACCACCGGTGGAATCAACCGGATTGAGTGCTATGCTACCACAAGCAACCGGTCACATAACTTCCGGTTGAAAAATCCCGGTCACAATGGTCTAGATATCATATATCCTCTGCCAGTGAATTTGTGACTTTTTCTTGTAGCACTCATAACTTTGTCAAATATTAACCATTTTACATGATCAGACCACCGGTGAAATCACCGGATTGAGTACTGTTACTAGAAACAACCGGTCACATAAATACCGGTCACAATGGTCTAGACATGATATATCCTCTGAAATTGTCACTTTCTCTTGTTGTAAGGCTCATAACTTTGTCAAATCTTAACCATTTTACATGATCAGACCACCGGTGGAATCGCCGGATTGAGTGCTATGTTACCACAAGCAACCGGTTACATAAATACCGGTTGTTGTTGCACCCCATAATACCGGCCCACCCGTCTTCATTGCACCCTATCATGCCGGCCCACCCGTCTTCATTGCACCCCATATCACCGGCCCACTCGTCTTCATTGCACCCTATATCACTGGCCCACCCATCTCCATTGCGCCCTATAATGCCGGCCCACCTGTCTTCATTGCACCCCATATCACCAGCCCACTCGTCTTCATTGCACCCCATATCACCGGCCAGCTCATCTTCATTGCACCCCATATCACCGGCCGACTCATCTTCATTGCCACCCAATAACACCGGCCGACTCGTCCTCATTGCACCTCCTTTACCGGCCCACCCGTCTCCATTGCACCTG